TTTTATCTCCCTCAATGAAAGTAGAAATTTGAAAACACTAAGGTGTTTTAGAAAATTTAACAGATGAGATGCTTGTTATTGTTAACAAAGAACAACCTGAATTTGAATGAGGGTCCTTGATACAATGATCATGATTCTATCTATTAGCTTTTTTGATAAAACTAAAAATAATTCAAATTTAGATTCTATTGATGCCTTTTTTCCCCCAGTTGTATACCTCAAAGTGCTCATCATTCAGTTAATATATAACATACTCCCGTGAAACTCATGGTCAGAAACATCAATCAACTTATTTTATAAGTGGATAAACTCTAGCCTAAGGTGATTGAGTTGCTTAAGGCATCTTGGCAAGTCTAGGGAAGTTAGCAACAGCCCCGGTTCCAAGTACTGTTTAATTAATGTGGTATCCAGGAAATGAGTTCCTCTTGAAGTAATCTTTTACTGTACTAGCATGTTCCCAGTATAATAGTAAAAGTTTTTTTTTTTTCCCCTGGCTAGATTCTTATTTATTTACATGAAAAATGTTTGGAACCATATGCCCCACCCACATTCTTTTCTTCAATGCTAATATCCTAGTTTGTTGTGTGTGTGTGTGTGTGTGTGTGTCTGTGTGGGGGGCGGTAGGAGAGAATTTCACCCTTGGCAGTTTTTTTTTTTTCAAGTTATGGGTTATTATTTTAATTTTTGCCTTCTGCATTTCTTTTTGGCCCATATACTTAGTTAACTATTTTTATCCTGATAGTTTAAGACTTCATTCAGTAGGTTTCTTGCTATTATCTTTTAGCCTAATAAATCTGTGGTAAGGCCTCATTTATTTTATTACTTATTTAAAAAATGTAATGAAAACAATATATTCTGTTTTCCCCAATTCTCTTAAGCAGATCTTGACTCCATTTTCCCTCTATTTCCTTAGTTTATTCCTATTGGATTCACCTGACCATTACATACTGATTTGCCTAGTCTCTTCCCTTTAATCAACTTAGACAATGTTTCCAGAATTTTACCCTGACCATATCAATATGCTGCTTAAAATCTTTTCATGGCTCATTCTGACCCACAGAACAAAATGTGACCTTCTTTGCTTGGCATACCATGCCTTCCTGATCTGGCATACACTGTTTCACCAGTCTCATGTAACCCTACCCTGATCTCCAATCATACTAAAATACTTACTATCCTCTATGCCGCTGCACATCTTGTTCTCTCTACCAGGAACATCTTTCCTAACCCTGTATCTAAACTAATGTATCCTTTCCCCTCCTTAAAGTTTAAACTCCTTCAAGGTGGGACAAAGTGTTCCACTTTTGTTATCTGCAGAGGCTGGCTGCAGGCTAGATAGACAGAAGGAATTAGTGCAATAATTAAATGGTGCTGAAATTCACGATCAGCAAAAAAATAACTTATGCCTAATGATGATACAAGTTTGCTGTGGCATCCCGGTGTGGGAGCTTTTCCAGAACTCAGGGGCATCTGCATTAGTAGAGGGTTTTGGAGGTTGGATGAGGTGACCAAGAGAAGCTCTTTATGAAGTTTATTCATTTTGAAATAACATTGGCACAAAAAGTCCTAAAATCCTAATTTTGTTTGCCCTCTTTGGTGGTGCAACCAGTTGGTTAGATCGCAGCACTGTGACGCTATCTGCAGCTGCTTCAGCATGACTGATCCCCAGCCCCAGAGGTCACCCACATGGCTCAGCAAACCTCTTTATGTCTCACCCACTGCTCCCCTCAGTAGTGTACTTCGTCAACCTGCCTGTTCTGCTCCCCACTCTGTCTGGTTAATTCTCTTATAGCCCCTGTACCTTTGACCAGTACCCCAGTCCTATATGCATAAATAAATCAATCTTTAAAAAACTTTTTTGTTTTCTATTATTTTAACTCTTTCATTAAATCAGTCATGTATTAGGTAGAGCTAAATAATTTGGATATTTACTATAGTCAGTGTTCTTGGTTGCATGAGCACCATTAACATGAAAAATATTTTCCTTTTCCCATAGTTTTCATTCGGTTGCTGAAATATGAAAATATGTTACCTACCCTCCTTTGCTTCTGGCTTTTTGAGAAACTCTGCATGGATGCCAGTGGTTAGACAGGATGTTGAGGCTATGAAGTGACACCTATGAAATGTAAAATGTCTGTCACTCCAAATTTTCCTAAAGAAAGAAAATAGCCTTTTCTATGGATAGTAATTGTCTCCTGACAAGTATATATATATATATTTTAAAATTAGGTTAAATGATTCCACACAGAGACTATTAACCCTGGTGTATAAGGACTCAAATTACTGTAGTGCCAATTTTGAGTCAGGTGTTTTTTAAAAAATGTATTGGCACATAATACATGTGTGCTTATCACAAAATATTTTAGACTTTTTTTCTACTCCAACTGAAAATCTATAGTTATTTTAATGTCTAAAATCATACCAGTGGCAACACTAAACAATTAACTGTTTTTTTCTCTATCTTTAAAAGTACATCTATGGAAACATAATCTTGTACTCTGGATATGTAAGCTAAATATTTTTATTTTACAGATAAGAGATTGAAATTTGGTTTACAAATAGACTTCTCCCCTCATAGTGTAGAGCACTTTAAGTGTTCTCCCTCCTTCTGTCCTGTACAGGGCATTCTAGAATGGGAATTTTGGCATTCAACCAGGGCCATAGCAAGAGATTTTGCTTTAGAGGTTCATGTTTCTAAGTGGTGGTCAAATAAACACTAGAGCAACTAGTATTCAGAGTTTAGGAAACAGTTTTTCAAGGATAGGGACAGCATAAAATGAAATTCATTGTGTTATATGTTTGTAATGATGTGCCATAGTGCTAATGATTTTTTTTTTCATGACTACTAGTGTTTTATATAATGTTATCTTTACTAGTTGGAACCAATTACTGTTTGAAACTTAGATGCCTAAATATACAATAAACCAACAAATTTGTTTTATGTGTAAAGCCATCCTAAGAATAACAGCTACAGAATATTTTAAAACATTTTTCTCTTGTTTACCTTTCCCAAATCTCAGAAAATATGCACAGGCTCATGGAAATGTCTATTAATTGTTCTGAGAGGCCACCAGGTGATGCTGACTTCCTAACTCAGCTTTAGCTTCTTTTCAGGTGACTAGAATGGTAGAATATTTAGTAACATAGTAGGAATGGGTAATAAGAAATATGTAATAAGTAACTAGTGAAATGATCGTATTTATTGTGATATTTAATATTACACCAGATCTGGGAGTTCAGATCCTTTCCACAGGTTCTCATAAAGTATACTTCTCTGGGTGATGCAGGCTGGTGCTCCAGCTGAATCCAAGCATCATTTTCTTTCATGTTTCAGAGAGCTATCTTGGCTCCTTAAGAGTATTGCATATGCTTGACATGACTATAATTCTCTTAGCAAGAAATTTCCCCTTTGCAATTAGTTTACAGTAATGCAAACTGTATTCTGAGTAGCATTATAGAATATTCTAGCTTTGCAATAGTAACACTTGCAGGGCATTCTTTTTTAATAAAAGATTTATTTATTCATACAGAAACTGGGGTACAGGCCAGAGGTGCGGGGGTGGTGAGGATTCACCAGAGACAAGAGCGGGGAGCAGAACAGGCACACTGATGAAGTACACTGCTGAGGGGAGCAGTGGGCGGGTCAGCAGAGGTCTGCCGTGCTATGTGGGTCACCTCTGGGGCAGGCAGGGTTCGAACTCATGCTGAAGTGGCTTTAGCTTCTTAGTGCTGTGCCTCAACCCACTGCACCACCAGGGAGGGTCCCGTATTCTTTTTTTTTTAACAATGTCCATCCCTCGATGTCTACAATACGGTGATATACTTGTAGTTCCATACATATATGGTCAAAACATGAATAACTTCATGTTTCCACAAGGCTGAGAGAACATTTAGCTACCCTCTTCAGTTTCAGTTTCCCTTTCTGTTGGTTTCCCCTGTGTTTGGTGCTTTACTGGAAGATGACAGTTCCAGCAGAAAGGAACCAAACACCTTATTTTTGTTACTGTCATTACAAATTCCTCCTAAGCATTCATAAGCAGAATGACAAAAAAATACATCACATGCTATGTCTCCAAAGGAATTGGCAATTCTTCAAAATGTAGTTTAGTTAAAAAAAGTAATTTAATACTAAACATGAAATTACTGGAACTAGGTAAGTGCTTAAGTTTTCATGTTTCTTTGTAGTCTTTAAAATGATTTGTGCTTCCTGATTTCACAAGAAAGTCTTTATCAAAAAATGGAAAACACAAAAAAGAAAACCACCAGTAGTTGTACCACCTAGCTATAATTGTCATTCATATTTTGGAGGGTATCCTTAATTTTTAAAAAAGACTTATTTATTTATTATTTATGTGTACAGAACTGGGGTACAGGCCAGAGGTGCAGGGGCGGTGAGAGGATTCACCACACACAGAGCGGGGAGCAGAACAGGCAGATAGATGAAGTACACTGCTGAGTCAGGAGAGGTCTGCCGCACCATATGGATCACCTCCTGGGCAGGCGGGGATCGAACTCATGTGGAAGTGGCTTTAGATTCTTAGTGCTGTGCTTTAACCCGCTGCGCCACCAGGGAGGGCCCTATCCTTTATTTTTTTTTTCTAGCAAGTATAATTAGTTTTTATTTTAGTCCTTGAGCTTATTCACATATAGATGTATACAGGAATCTTAGTGAGTAAAGCCCTAATAAATGGGATACAATGTAACCCTCCTCTACCCTTCTTTCACAGAAGATGCTAATTCTGGTCTTTTTAAAAACTTCTGGTCTTTTTAAAAAGTTCACTAAATAAGGACACATATGTTTATTTTTGACAAAATAAAGGAAAACCATTTTTTCAGATAAATATTTTAATTAAATTATCACAGAAAGCAAACAAAGTTGTATACACATATATACATCTACTCAGAAATATGTAAGCATATGTACAAAGATTAGAAAGGAATACAAAAAAAATATGTATAGGGTATTGGGGTCATATTACTTATTTTTATTTTGGAATATACTCAAACAAAACATTAAAAAGAATATTTTCCATGCTAGAGAATCTTATATAAATGTATTTGTTCAAGAGCTTCCCTGTCAGTATCCTTTTCTGGGCATACGTCATAGTTCAGAGGTAACTCTTCAACCCAGGCAGATAACTGTATATTAACCTGGGGAAAAAAAGATTGAAATGAATTCTGCAATGATCCTATTTCCTATAATTTCTCTGCAATGATCCTATTTCCTATAATTTCAAAAAATCATGACTAAGTAGTTGAACACAACAGAATTGTATGAGAAGGACTCAGACTGCAATGAGAAGGACTAAATGCTACATGGTGCCACATGAATAGTTCTTTGTTGTACTAAGTGGGAGGTCTGTGGATTCTGGGATTTTAAAGAATAAATAAAAAATTTAATGTAACTTATTTAAAAATTATTAGATGTAAGCAATAAAAAAACTAATAATTGGAATACAGATAATATAGAAAAACTATATGTATAAAGGCGACAGTGCTATGGGGCTGATATCGCTCCAGATCTTCACTAGACTCATCATATCTGTTAACAAACTTGAGTCTCTATGCCACAGAAATTCTGGAGCCACCAATGTATAAATCTTTTTAAAGTTTCCTTAATAGGAAAGCAGTAAGGTTCTTTAAGAGCTTATGTGTAAGGACTTTTCCATTATATTAATTCCAAAGGTTATCTACATAGACTTATTTATTTAGTATGAAAACTATTATTTTGGTAAGTAAAAACGACTAAATTATTTCAATATATAAGTTAGCTACCACATATTTAAAAAGATACTCTTTTAATTGAGCTTTAGCTAATAAAAGAGATGTTTTTCTTACTATGTAGTTTCACAATTATGTAACTATAAATGTTTATATTCCTTACAAGACTATTTTGTTTTGTGCCCTTGGGGGCTTGTGGTATTTATGTGCTATGCCTAAAATTCTTTTCAATTGAAATAGATTTCTCATTTATATAAGAAATAGCAATAAGACTCCTTGGAAAAAAAAAAGAAGCTTTTAAAAATTAGAGTAAGTGTGGTAGGATCATATCACTTATAGTGTGAGAATCTCATAAGGAGACAGTTGAGGAGACTAACATTTTTTTCTTTATGTATCTCTGGATTATTTCTCTTATGATAAATATGAATTATTTCTGTGTGACATAAGTCTTTTCAAGGTATGACTGCTTAAAGGAAGAAATAGGTACTTAAGTTGACAGTGCTTCTACACAAGAAAAGCACTACTGCAGAAAATAACAATACTTGGTATTAAGAAATACAACAGTATCTTTCACCTAGGGATTTCTAAATCTTAATATTAAATATTGTCTTTTCCTATGTAGAATCTAAGGAACAAGTTAGTGGTTTGTGCAAGATTTCAAACTGATCTAGAAGCTAAACTGTGCCCAGTACTTGGGTTTGTAGTCTACTAACAAGAAATCTTGAAGCTTGTTCCTTTTGTCCTAAGCACAAAAGATATAATGTGGGTATTCTAGGCCTCTTATGAACATTTAATAGCATTTGTTAACCTAAAGTATAACACAGTTAGAAAAACTGGGTGAATTAAAGGAACCTATATCAAGAAAAGAATCACAATTTCACAACTGTTGAGTGAGTGAACAAACCAGCTTTTAAGTCACAAGGTGGTGTTATTCATTGTGTTTGTTACTACATTCAGATTAAATATTTCTAGAGTATTACACTAGCTCCCAGAAAAAGCAAAGAAAAAGTTTGAACAATAAAAATGTTGGAAAAGAGGCTTACATACCTTCAGACCCGAGAGAGAATCTTCAAGACTTGGTACTGTCACTAATAATGACCCTTGTTTCCGTACATTATGGCTGATATATTCCCAGGCTCTAAAATACATTAAAAACTCATAAGTTAGGTTTTTCTAGACACCAGAATTTTTTTATGCATGAGATGCTTTTATGGTCTACACAATGGGGAAAAAAATTGTTAATACCCAGTTTGTGAAAGATACTGCTTATATGATACCTTTAACAACATTTTTCTTTTCACTGAGACATTAAGTCATCCTATTAGAATGATTGGGGACCCCTCACCTTTTACAGTTTACCTTGTTTTAGGGGCACAGGTTTACGAATCTACAAATATATGTTACCACACCCACCACCAAAGTCCCAATCCTCTGCCTTACTCCGGGTGCCTGCCACCAGCCCTTGCTACTTTCTAGTAGCCTAAGTCTGCAGTCAAATTTCAAGAGTTTGTTTTGATTTGGTTCTGACTGTTCCTTTGCTTTGTTTCTGTACATTCTACATGTGAGATAAGCCATAAACCACTTAAAAAAAAAAAAAAACAGGATGAGAAAAGAAATACAGCATAGGTGGTGTCTACAAGCTCAGGTGAGCAAAAAGTGTCCCTGGTGATTTGAAATGGTACAGCAGAACACACTAGAAATTGGTACACTATCTAGTCTCTGAAGGCGTAATGACAACATTATGAAGTTACAGTATTGAAAAGATTCAACAGGATGGGAGTTTTGGTATCACAGGTAAGGTCAAAATCCATTTTTAAGAATCAATACACAAGTTAAGCTGGTTCAGCTTTATGAGTGTGTCAAACTGATTAGAGAGAGTGGAGGCTTGGGGAGTGGGGAGCAGAAACTGCTAAGGATGGAGTAGGGAAGAGCCTGGAAATAGGTCATGGAAACCAGTAACCAAGCAAAGACCTATAATAAGAATATAATATATAGATTAGATCTTTATACATAACATAAGGAATGAAATTATACTTCATCTGAATGTCAGAAATAGTCAACAGAAGACTTCTGGATAATGCGGGCAATAGAGAGGTTTAAAGAATCAACTAGATTTTTTTTTAAATTATTACAAAAGTTTATTTTTACATCATTTTGCACATTTTTTTTTCTATCTCGATTGTAGAATCAACTAGATTTTAAAGCGCAATGGAATGCTATGTGTAATGTATGTCAGTGGGCGGCATCCACGTAACCACCTCTTGTTTATCTTTAGGACAGACATACACTGGATTTTTATCCCATGCATGAGTCTCAATAGTGTCCCACTACTGGGAAGCAATGCTCAAGCAAAGCAGAAATGTGCATCTCTTGCAGTGCAGCTGACAGACCCTAAATGCACATGCACTTATTTAAGTTACAGCAATGGCTATTTAAATTGCAAATATTTTGCAGTATATTAGGAGAAATGATAAAAATGTTCTTTTTCTCAAGCTAGATTGAAAAAAATGCAGCCATGTTAAAAAATAAGTGTCATGGCCCTCCCTGGTGGCGCAGTGGGTTAAAGCACAGCACTGAGAAGCTAAAGCCACTTCCGCATGAGTTCGATTCCCGCCTGCCCCGGAGGTGACCACATGGCGTGGCAGACCTCTCCTGACCCGCCCGCTGCTCCCCTCAGCAGTGTACTTCGTAGATCTGCCTGTTCTGCTCCCCACTCTGTGTATGGTGAAGCCTCTCGCCACCCTGAGCCTCTGGACTGTACCCCAGTTCTGTATGAACAAATAAATAAATCTTTAAAAAAAAAAAAATAAGTGTCACACTCATAGCAGGAGTATAATGGACCAGGCGAGAAAGTAACAAAAATAATGAACAACCATATATCAGAGACATTTTGCGGGGGTGGAGTGAGGAATGGGATAAAAAATGGGGGGGGGGAATGCACGGGATTATGGTGATGGCACACGGGTGACTTGGTGATGGGAAACCCGCGGGGATTACAATTGAGATGGAAAAAAAAATGTACAAAATGATGTAAAAATAAACTTTTGTAATAAAAAAAAGTGAAAAAAAAATAAGTGTCACTATGTTTGGGCTAAAGCTGTTTGCTGTTTAGTAACAAAAAGAACATATTTTATCTGTTTATTTAGTAAGAATGAAGCTGAATATTGGCATATCTCTTAAAATAGCGCTTGTTCTTTATGTTATAAACTGCAGTAATTATATCTGTTGTATCTACTTACTAAAAAAATATATATAAAGAGGCTCCTTTTCAACTAATGATTACTTTGCAAATCTAGGGTGTCACTTTGTAATGAGCTCTAACTTTTCTTAATACACATTTTCTATTATTGTGATATATTTTAGGTTTTACTTATATGCCAACTCCTTCATTTGTCCTCAGATTCTGATTAAGATTACAAGTCCCTGGAGTTTTGGGTGTGTCATCTCTTTTTTTGTCATTTATTACAATATAAAATTAATATAAGCAAATGGTCAATTTTGTCAGGATTCCAATATCAGGATGCTTTATTATACCTTCTAAACTTTCTTCTGTATATTGTCATTCATGATGAAGACATCCCTGAGAAATTATAACCTATCTATATTTAGAGTTCACTGTGCTCTAGCCTATTTTAAGAAAAATGATTAAGCAAAAACATGTGACCAATACCTATTCAGTGAATCATGTAGAGTTCATGAATGAATGTACCAAAAAGTGTTTTTACAAACTTGCAGTATTTCCAGTATCAGCTTCACCAGTAACTGTCAACATTGTTTACCAATCAAAATCTTTCTATAGTGAATCTCTGAAAAGTTTAATATGGTTTATCTTTTAATTTCTTATTCAACATAAACCTGGTAATATTCCATTCTTCAACAATTATGTAATGTTTGGCTAACTGGTCATTAACTTAAAAAGATAAAGAGCTGGGCTTCCATAGTGGCCTAGGGGTGAAGTCTTAGTGCTGTCACTGCTGTGGCCTGAGTTCCATCCCTGGCCAGGGAGCCAACTCACATATGGTGCAGCAGACCTCTGCTGTCTTGTCCGCTATTCAGTAAATCTGCCTGTTCTGCTCCCCACACTGTCTCTGCTGAATCCCCTCAGCGCTCCTCACTATCCTGCACCTATGGCCTGTACCCTAGTTCTTCTATGCGAAAAAAAAAGACAAAGAATTAATCGTATATTGTTTACAGAAAATTAAACTTAAAAGGCTACTATGATGAAAACTTTGCTCATGTGCTTACTTTGTGACCAAAAATCACCTATTCTGTTTAGGATCTGTGTACTCAGAAAAGTTAGAGCTCATTACAAGGTAACACCCTAGATTTGCAAAGTAATCATTAATTGAAAAGGAGCCTCTTACACTTTTTTAGTAGTATATATATGATCAAACTTCTCTTAAATCAATTTCTTTTAAAGTATTTCAGTTGTTAATTTCATAGTAACCTTAACCTGGTGTGAGAAACAGAGAATATATGTGTATATGTGTGTGTGTGTTGAGAGAAGGGGGGGGGAGAGAGAAAGAGAATAAAGATGAAGGTGGACAAAATAAAGAGATTTTACTATTAAGATTCTATTCAGTATTAATTATTTACAGTCTATAATTGTATAATTTTTATTTTTCTGCAGTAGAAATCTTACTGAAACACTAATCCAAACATCTGTGCAATTCCCCTTTATATATATATGAAAGGGACTTTCTTGCATAGGGACATACATCCCATAATGATAAATAAACTGTCTACAAGCCTAACTGGCTAGTGTCTATAGACTATAGAATTTTTCTAATTGGAGAAACCCTATAGGTCCTGTCCTGTGGCAGACAAATCAAAACGTGATCACAGGTTTGCTAATTTTTCCATTTCTTGAATAGTAGAATAAATTTCAGGAAACTACTATTACAACCTCAAGAACATTTTTTTTTAAAAAAAAGATTTATTTATTTGTGCATACAGAACTCGGGTACAGGCCAGAGGCTCAGGGGCGGTGAGAGGCTTCACCAGAGACAGAGTGGGGAACAGAACAGGCAGATTGACGAAGTACATTGCTGAGGGGAGCAGCGGGTGGGTCAGGAGAGGTCTGCCACACCATGTGGTCACCTCCTGGGCAGGCGGGAATCGAACTAATGCGGAAGCGGCTTTAGATTCTCAGTGCTGTGCTTCAACCCGCTGCGCCACCAGGGAAGGCCTCAAGAACATTTTTAAGTGTGATAACATTTTTATACTTTGTTTTATAGTCATTCATAGGCACTATTTTTATCATTTTTGTATAGATTCCTATCATTTTGTGGTAGGATAACATATATGTTTTTTCCAAGAAAAAAAAAATAACTGGGGCAGAAAAGAATAAGTACAAAGGCATTGGGGAACTGTTATTGCATCCAAGATTGTTAAGCAAATGGTTGGGTCATGGTATCATTTTATATCTGCCTGAAATTAGAGGGAATATTTTTAAAAGTTAGACCAAGTTTATTTTTATATTTGTCTTATACATTAACACATTTCCTGATTAGTAGAATCTCACAGTGGAAGAAGCCATAAACCACAAGTTTAATATGGGGCCCTCCCTGGTGGAACGGTGGATTAAAGTACAGCACTAAGAAGCTAAAGTCACTTCAGCATGAGTTCGATCCCTGCCCCGGAGGTGATCCACATGGCATGGCAGACCTCTTATGACCCACCCGTTGCTCCCCTCAGCAGTGTACTTCAACACTCTGCCTGTTCTATTCACTGTCTCTGGTGAATCCTCTCACTGCCCCTGCACCTCTGGCCTGTACCCCTGTCTGTATGCATAAAAAAATAAATCTTTTAAAAAAATTGTTAATAATAAGACATTTTTATCACACCAATCCCTTTTCATACTTTGGATATATTCTAACAAGATTTATTGCTTAAACAAAGAACATACCTGGCCTGTTCTGCCTCATCAAGAAAATATTCGAAGACATTGTTCATTATAATAACATCAGCATTTTGCAGCAGAGAACCCTGGGTACAAATGTCTGCATGAACCACCTGAAGAAGAATAAACTCATGTAAGAAGACAAAGAGTATATTACACAATCATGTAGGAAGTATCTATTGGTTCAATATTCTATTAGGTAATATGAGATGTTAGCACATCTTAAACTGGGAAAACAAAATATGGGAGATGCTTAATATTTAATAAAACCATAAACTTGAGAAGATTTGTTTTAGAAGACTTATTTTAGGCATTAGACAGACATCACTTTATTTTTTGCTTATAAGAGTCAAGGGACTTAGGCTTAAATTTTGGTTCATTATCAACTATGGTGAACTAGAGAACCTTAGGTAATCAGTGTTCTCATAAATAAAATGGAATGGTATGTCTGATTCACAGGATCAAATAAGACCACATAAAAATTTAAAAAGTAACTTATAAATTACAAAACATTAATACAATGTTAACTAGCCTTGTCCAACTCTTCATGTAAAATTCACTGAATACATTATCTATCCAAAAAAAGAAAAAATAATTTTAAAACTGTATTAAAAAAATTAACTTAGGCTACTATTCCCAAGTCTTGCTGACTACAGGAAAGATGTAATAAGAGGAAACATTTGGTCCAAAGCAAATGAAACAATTCATAAAAAAAAAAAAAAAGTTAAATTTGTGATAGAAGATTTCTTGCTAAATAAGTACTTGTCCTTATACATTCAGACTGTTTAGAGTCTGATTTTTAAAATATTTTCTTCCTATTTATTTAATTAGATTTATTTATTTATTTTAAAGATTTATTTATTTATTCGTACAGAACTGGGGTACAGGCCAGAGATGCGGAG